AAAAAAAAAAAAAAAAAAACATGCTCAAAAGTCGAACGTTTCTTCTTCTGAGCCACACACCTTATTTAAATACTTCTTATTATCATTCAACACCCACACCCTTTTGGCAGCCACACTAGAGATAAGAGAATATTATCTTCAAAATGGCTTCACAAATCTACTCATGAAAACATGCGTCCGAAGTTGAACATTCCAAGTGTTGCCCCGTTGAGATATTAGATCACTAACTCACAATAAGTCTGACTCAACTTCTAGTTTAAAAACTGGCCTTCTTCCTGACAACCTTGGCACCCAATTGTCTTCCAAGATTCTGGTTCTCGTACCATCTCCCACTGCAATCATCATCTATTTCCCACAACCATCCCTGACTTTCAGCCAACTATTCCATCTCCAGAAAAAATTTCCCTTCCGCCGAGCACCAAACAAAGAATAATTAGAAAAATATTTGGCTTTAAGAATTCTACTCACCAGAAGATCAAATTGGGTCAGAATTATCCATAATTGTTTGGCAATGAGGGCCTCATTAAATAATTTAATATCTTGGAATCCAAATCCCCCTTGTTTCCTTAGAATAGTAAGTAGGTCCCAAGCTTTTCAGTGAATTCCTCTTTGAAGATCACTCCCTTTGCTCCACCAGAAACTTGCACACACTGGCAATCTCCTTGCAAAGACCCACAAGTCATAAAAACCATGATACGTCAAAAACTGGAAGAGCATTTAAGACACCTTTGATAAGAATTTCCTTCCCAACAGAGGACAACCACTTGTTCTTCGAACTATGAATTCTGCTTTTAACAACTGACATCACATAATTGAAAGCTTCTTCTTTGTATTTTTTATTTACTTATCCCCAAAGGTAGGCCCAAATATCTAGTGAAGTGATTCAATTTTATCCCATGTAACAGCTGGCAGCACCTTGTTGGGAAGATAAATTACTTGTTCAAACATGATTAGAAACGAAACCTGGATAGTGTTCTAAATTGTTGGGAAGCACGAGTTGAATGACTAGTGTATCTGGCTTTAAACAAGACAGACACTAAGAGATGAATTGTCTAATACTTATGACAAGAAAGGTAAATCTTATTCACTAGGAAATCAAAATATTTTTAGTAGTGTTATCTATCGGTATTTGGTGAATAGATACGGAAGCACTGGTTGAGTAAAAAGGTTCTAGAAAACCAATCGACAAAATGATAGGTAGATTACCCCAAGAATGGCTCTTTGTTATATAGTGGCAATTATCGCAGTGGAAGTACTCTAATGAGTAAAATTTTGGTTTTGAGAAATTGTTATTACGTGTCATGCTTTAGAAAGAATTCGATTTCACTTTCTAAATTGAGTGTGAATATTACGTTTTGTTTGATAGCACGTTTGTTGTTTCAATAATGAAACATTTTATCCATTTGGTACATGGGTAGATGATTTGTGAACTCAAGGAATCAAATGTCTCATAGTGCAATAAATGAAAATAAGTAACACCTCGTCTAAAACCATTATAAAGAAAGTCCAATAAATGAACCATATATAATTTTGGCACATATTGTTTAGTGTTTTTTAGCTTTAGTATAATTCAAAGGTAGATAGTCGATGGATTTAGAGTATGTTGGGAGTGATTAAAACTATTAGGCTCTCAAAATTTACTTAGTAACTAAAACGACTAAAATGGCCTTCTGAAGGCCAAGACGTGTAGAAGCCAACTATATATATTAATATTGGTTCATTTCGATTTTGTGTCACCCTATTTTCTTCAGAAAAATGTGGTTTTGAATATTTTATCTTTATCATAATATTATTTGAGACGGTGCATTAGTGACGCTCTATGAGCTCGAGTGCTTCTAGGAAGTGCAAGGGCAGTTGTGGGGAGATGATGATGTTAATGTATCAATTGCACTACGATTGTAATCTTGGTTACTGATACTTTTTGAAAAATAAGGAGTCATTGATCTGTGATTCAGTTCTAGCAAGTTTTACCGAGTCCATCCCAACAGAATGGTGTAGCAGAATTGTAACGCCCCGATCCTTTCATCTATAAGAGCTCGACTTTAATTCTAAGAGAAAATAAACTTTAAATTATTCTAAGTTATAAAAATTGAATGCAAGACAATAAATTAATTATTACAAGCATTAAATTAATTGGTAAATTTCTAAGTAACAAAAATTAATTTAACTAAGAATAAATCATAAGTCTAAGCTAAGGAGGAGCCGATCGAATTTTTATTCCAAAACCAAAACAATTTTAGCCTAAGTCTCGATCCATTTTAACTTAGAAAAATGGCAGTAAACTTGGCCATTTTAATCCAAAAACGAGCTTAAAAAAATCGAGAAATATTGCAAAAGGGCCGTGTCTAAGGCAAATCAAGACCTCGACCCAAAGTCGAGAAACCGCGGTCTAAGTCGCGCGACACAAGAAGTCTACGTGTGCCCAAGTAGCAAGCATCACACGACCCCATTTTCCTCAATAGGTCACAATAGCCCAAATGGCCCAAGCCAAGATACATTATGGTTTGGTTCTTTGACTTCAAATTCAAATTTGAATTTGTCATAAATGCCCATTTACCAAGTGTTGCTTTTGGGGACACAAGAACAAGTAAAAGGGGAATAGTACAAGTAACTTTTGTACTCTTGTCCCCATCCCCTTGTATAAAAAGAAGACCATCACCCTTAGTCTTCATTATTCTCTCCCCATTACCTCAAGCAAGAAACTCCCGCAAAAATGTCCTAAGTAAGAAAATCCTCCTAGCCCTTAA